CAGTACTCAATAGTTATTAACTGGAAACCACGTGTCCGAGCGCACAGGTGTGCCTTTTAAGGCTCCTCCACACGTAGGCAGATGCGTCGGCAGACGTCATCTGCGGGTGCGTCCGCCGACGTGTAGAGGGGGGTATTTGCTCGTCTGTGGGCGGTATCGGACGTCGGCAGATGCGTCTGGCGCTCTTCCGTCTGTTGTCGGTTTTTGTGACACGCAACAAAGGGATTAAGGCGCGAGCGTCCGACGTCTGACGACGAATGAGCACGCATCAGTGCTATCGGAATCGGGAAAGAGACTGTACTCGCGCTTCTTAAGGTTTTTACCTTAACCTTTTTCGCTAACATGGCTAATATGACCACTGATGAAACCTTCAAATTTATTGAGCTATATCAAGCAGAAAACTGCCTGTGGAATCCAAAGAATAAGTACCACAAAAACAAAAATGTTGTAAGTATACGCACTCAAGTAGTAATTAAAAGTACTAAACAAATAAATAGCTGCGGCAGTTACCATCTCAACATCCATTTTTTAAATATTGCGTCCGTTGCATCTGTCGAGGCTTGACACAGACTGAGCGACCTGCAGACGTCTGCAGACGTGTGGTCAGCTCGTGGAGATTCACCTGCCGATGCATCTGCCGACGTCCGCCGACGCATCTGAAGACGTGTACTGGAGGCATTATGAATTGTCCATAGACTAATGACGGGACGCTGGGCACTAGAGAAGTGTGATGTCAGGCGCGAACGAACAGCAGCTATGATTTCGCCACAGCCGACGTCAACTACGAGCCGTGATGAAAGAAAGGCAACACCGCGCTCGGACGGCATGGTAGTGCTCAACGACGATGAAAAGACCTAGACATTTACATTCATTCATAAAACGTCTATCTGAACGTTGACAAGATAAACAACAGAAAACTATATACAGCTGGAGGAAGATGGCGGACAGTCGTCAACTGCCATGGGCGTATCATAATCGGGGTAATAGAGCTATAGCTAGAAATCGATTTTTGTGGAGTTTTTGGGCACTTCAATGAATGTAAAAGTATTATGCATAATGGAATGGAATAATTTGTCACTCAAATAAATTGTTTATGCTAATTATGAATATGCAAGCCGAAATATAGCGTCGAAGTACAATTAAATATAAGTGTACATAAACACAACAAGAAACGGTCAAAACTAGGACTATGAATCAAACCGGACGTCACATGCACTCAGACCAATCATGATAGTGTCGCCAGCGACAGACGAGGCTCAGAAAACTGATGAGCTTTATACATTTATTAACCCGACTGCCTCAGGAGGAATATGTTTCACATGTTTTTTGGTTTGTATGTATATATCCAAAAATTCTGTTTCACGGGCTCAAATGCTTGTTGGATTTTGGTATTCGGATTCGTCCTAGCAGTATGAGTGATACTGGGTATATTAAAATTTCATTGAAACAAAATGGCGAATATTAATAAAATAATCAACCTTGAAATTCATATTTCCAAGGCTGCAGCTTGAACGGTTTGATGGATTTTGACAGAGGTGCCTCTAGATTAGAGACGGTATACTTGACCAATGTGTTTCCAATATTTACTTAAAAATTAGAGTTGGATTGAACAGTTTTGATCGCCATCCATTTTAATAAGATATTTTTTTAAAACAAATCAAACAGTGAAATGGGAACACTTTTTATTTTGACATTTTTACAAAATCATAAATTACAAGAGTTGCTTCAAGCAGCTACTTCACACTCGCCAATTTAACAATGGGTACAAAATCATCATAGGCCATTCCTTGTATAATAGTAAAGAACAGTATAAGAAAAAACACTCTAAATCTTATTAGTACTACTTTGCCAGTATTATAAAGCGAATGTCAGACGTTCATTTCATACTCTGATCCGTTAGTATTTTCCAAGGAATGTGGTCGTATTCATTGAACGTCTAGCCTAGCGTATTGATGCCATGTTTTATTGTTGCATAAGGTTATGTGGAAATTCAATCATTCCATCGATCCGGAAGGAAATCTATCAGTAAATACTGACGTACGGATCACAGTATGGAATGCACGTCTGACATTCATCTACGAGGTCTCAGTTATAGCATAATTAAAGGAAAATATGCGAGTTATATATATATACATATATATATAATATATATATATAAAGGTAACTTTATATAAAATCTAATTACATATAATATAATCAAAAATATATACATCAACACATTAAGCATAATTGTAAATAATTCATTCAATCTTGGGGTGTTACCTAAAGTGTTGTAGTAATCGTGTTGAGAAATTTGTATAGCAAATTAATTTTATAAGATAGCTTATGTATCCATTTATAACATGAAATACGAAAAAAAAACAATACATGCAGTCGGGATATTTCCATTTTACTGTGTATTGGTAGAAATTGCGGAATCTTGAATTATTTCAATTACATGCGAAACAGCTGAAATGTAGTCGACCTATACATACATGATCAGTGTCGCCAGAAAATTAAAAATCTACTAATTAGCTATGCATTTTGGGAAAAACAAAGCTTGAACTTCTGCCACCTACAGGTCTACAAAAATGTACATAATTTAAAAATACTTCTCAACCTTAGAATCATATCATAGAATCCAAAAAATTACGAGAGATACAACAAAGAAAAAAATCTTACTGATGGCTGAATAATACTGCCTTCGTATATACACTTCTAATTCTGTTTTTTTTTTAAACTGTCCGATTTTTTCACAGTTTCGTGATGAATTCTGAGTGAGAAATACTTTTTCAAAATCAGTTTTATCAGAAATATGCAGTGCCCATCAATAGGGTCATCTTCAAGAAGGTGGTGTTCAAAATACCCCAAAATATGTGGTGATATTGATTGTATGGTATTATTGACTAGAATATCCGAGAGATGTTTGATATTTTTGTTAAAGATATTAGTTGTCTTTTGGAAGAAACGAAAGTATTTTTCACCATGGCGGCAAATTTGAATAACTGGTCCTGAGGCTTTTGTCAATTCTCCATAAACTTTTCTTTTTTGCAATGGCATGTCAATATCGCCCTCTAAAGAATTCTTACAATTTATACAAGTAACACATTTTTTTAAACAATTCACCACAAACCCTGCAATGTATGAAACAACATCTTCTGTATAAATTGTAAGATTCCATGCAAAAGGTGTGCACTGGTAAAGGGCAAGATCGTTTTTTATTTTTTCTTCAAACTGAAGTAATTCTGGGCTATTTAAAAGATCTTCACCATCGTCCGCCCTGGTTATATGATATCCACTGCCACAAGATAAGATAGTCAAACGCTCTGGGTTATCAACATTTCCTGTGTCTGGGCCAGATATCTCTGTATGCACCAGCAATCGTTTGTATGCAGCTTCAAACTGCCTTGCACTGGGATTATTGTTGTACCCTCCCTTACTACGAATAGCTCCAAAAAAAGCTCTAAATGATCCTGTGATAATTTATTTGTCAAAATATATTTTAAAACTTTCTTTTCTACAATACACAAGTTATAAAACTGTTTCAAGCTCTGAATGCAAATCAAAAATCCTAAAAAACCAGTTTTTTTTGGAGAATGTATTATTGGGAGAGTACCTAGTCGCAATCCATGGATATATTGAACTGCCTCGTCCATGAATTTGAAAAATGTATCTGCAGTAGCTGGAGAAAGTGGGCGCTTAAATAAGTACTTTGAAAACCTGTTTCTAGAGTTGAAAATATCAAAAATATCGTTAAATGTTTGAACAAATTTTACGGTACCTTCCACATTAGCAAACGTCGCTAGTTTTAAATCTTTGGATAAATAGGTCAAAGCATCAGCAACACTTCTACTTAAAGTTTGTGTAGCTATTTTGACCCTCATTTTTTCTCTCGTCCACTGTAGATGACGATTTCTTATTTTTGTGCCTAAATGTAAACCTTCGATATTTTGCACATCAACTAACTTCACCAAATAATCCCAACTTATCTGATTGTTTTCAGAATCACCTAAGTATTTGATGGAACCAAAAGCGTTTCTGACTAATTTTATCATGTGGCTTGGGTCTAGGAATATGTATACATTTTGACCCGTTATAGGATGGAGAAAATAAGTCTTCAAGTTTGTTACATCGTTCAGATTTGTCCCTAGACAAGAAGCCATTGTGAAATTTACTGGAGCACCATCGAATGTTAATGATGCTACAGTAACTCCAGAAGTGTGGATGAAGGTTAGGCATTTTTTCACGAGTTCTGCCTTTTCATAACCAGTCAAGCCATCCAACAGAAAGTAACCCACCGGAATTTTCCATGCTCCATTCAAGCATACTAACATAAAAACCAACACCTCCTTTGCTTCTGGTAGAACGTCTGATTCTATGTTAGCCCCAATATCAACATACCCCGTGAACTTACTCCCTGTCCATTCAACTTGTTTCCGAATAGACATCTCATCTAGGACTAAATTACACATAACAGTAGAGTTTTTGGTTGAAGCTTCTCCTTGTTTTAATTTCAAGGCCACAATGGATTCCTCAGTGAAGCCTGGTGTACCATCAATCGACTTATACCATTTGCTTATTGTTGACAGATGGGCTAGAGCAAGGTTAAATGTCTTCCTCACAAAATTGTATACTCTTGGGGAATAAAAGCTCAGCGTGAGGGCAAATGACCGCAAGGCAGGGTTATATTTCTGGCTAGTACGCCCCCTCAACATTCTTTCAAAGATTTCCAAAGGCATACCAGAAAGAGATGCCTAAAAGAGATATTAAGTATTTAGAATGCAATTAAATCATGTAATCTGAACAGAATGAGTATTTTAAAACTAGTATTAATTACATTTATGCAAGATAAATAACATCAGGAAACTAAGATATTAACACTGAACATACCCATACTCAATTCTATTTCTACCATAACCAGTCTCATGACCTGCTGTGGTTAGATGACGATATGTATACTTGTTGTAACAAGTATTAGTCAAAATAAACAAAATACGAATAAAAAAAGAATATCAAATGCTATAATTAAAAGAAAAAAATCATGGAGCTATATGTGCAAAAGTGATAAGATGATAATGCTTATTTTCAATGAGCAAGATTACAACTGGTCTTCTGACCAGTTATGGTATGTTGAGTGTTGTGTGTGTGTTGTAATGAAAATTATTATATTGAAAAAAAAAGTTGATCAATTGCTCCATTCAAATGAATTCGGGTATCTGGGACACACAGTCTTCATCAATCTGCTTACCTTCAATACAGTTTCAGCTGAATCTGTTATGTGATTCTTCTGCTTCAAAAGTTTCAATAAGCCACTTAGAGTTTTTATTCTTCTCCTCAAAGCAGCAACACTTGTTTGGAGACTTTTTACTTTTTTCCTCAATGTCATTAGGGAACTTTTCATCAACCGATAATTTGACTTTGATTTTCTGGGAGTGGAAAAGTCATCACTTGATAAATCTCCAACATAACGTTTTAGCCTGAAAAGGATAAATGTGTCAACTATATACTTTATTCATTAAATAATATTATATATCATTTCATCTTGATACAAAATAGCTAGTAAGAAACAAGTTCTTGTCTCCCTCAAATACCTTCTTTTACGTGGTGTTCTGACATTTCGTTTGGTGACATTGCCTCTAATTGCCAATTGATACTCCTGTTCAGAAGCAGTTGCAGTACTGGATGATGTGAATGACTGCAAAATTTCTGGAGGCTCTACCATCTTAGAAGCTTCATCAGGAAAAGGAATATGACTTGAGCTAAAATATTTTCTACATGAGTAAATGAAATGGTTTAGATTAAGAGAATACTCACACCACATGGGAAGGCCCTGGTATAATAGCTAACTCTTCCATTCTCAATCTAAAATAAAAGGTATACATAAAATACTGGACATAACACATGTAAACAACCAAAATCCTTTGACATACACATGATACTATTTAGATAAGTTTTGACAATAATTGTTTGGTAATGTACTTGAATGTATGAATTGCATTTATTAAAGCACACTTGAAGCACACAGGCACTGACTTATTTTACTGTGCCAATCTGTTTATTTTGATAATAATATGTAGTATAAGCTTATTATATGAGAATAGTTCAAGTCCGTATAGAACTCTACTCACCGCTTTCTGACAGGGCTCCCTTGACTGCTATGGGCTTCTGAGCTTGATTCCTTTGATGGAGTAAGTGTCACTGTTGAATCAGAGCTGGAATAATAATGTTTGTTTAAGATACTTATGGATACAATAACAAAGTAAATATTTACAGGGCTAGAGTCTAGAGTAAAGTACAAGTATAATCTTGACACATTTTTAATTCTTCAAACTTTAGATAATAGAAATGCTGAGTAAATATTAATCAATATGAATATATAGGGCAAATGTATCTGTATGCTATTAATAGCATGTCAAAAAAACTCAAAAAAGTAACAAACATATTTACCTTGCATACTCCTGCTCATCATGTATGGAGCGAACATCTACTGGTTCAGCACCATCCTTCAAAAGCCTTCTTCCAGCAGAATCATATTCAAAGTCCCTATCATGAAAATGTTTGCTGCATATCAGTGCCACTTTCGGCAACGTTTTCTCCCAGTCAATGTCAAGCAGTGAAATCCATAAAATGCGCTTTGCTGGGTCAGATGGGAGTCTAAAATTGTAAACACATGTCTTACACCAATGATCTGTCTAATGATTATAAACTAGTTAGCACAAAAATATAATCAAATCATGGCAAAATCACGTTTACTTAAATTGCATGAAGATTGTGTATGTGGATATTTTTGTACTTGATGAACTACACCCAGAACATCTTTAAATTGTATCATACTGCTAGTGATGAATATATATTCATATAAACTCGTCAGGAAGCTACAAAAAGTTACTAAAATGATGGTAAAAGACTGTTTTATGATAATTTTTTCAGTAAAATTTGTATTGCCACGCCTATGATATGAAAACATAACCTTACTTACCGATGGAATGATAAATTGGCCGATTCTGGATTACTGCTGTTTATCTTGCACACATAACACGATCGCACCATTGTTCAACAGGTAACAGTTCAATATCACTAACAAACTTATGGCAAATAGCACAAAAATAATGATTTGTGAAAATCCACAACTCAAGCATAAAATACGCACTTTATAGTATCGTAAAATGTCCATTCATAAGAAAAATGCGACGTTGCCAATGTCGACTGAAGCTCTGTGACTGAAGGAAATCTCTTTCCAATTCGCTAACGGTAAATTCAATACGAAAATAGTTCACTTTTCTACTTTTCACTATTGCTTATGCAGATTTTCAAGAATGTTAACAATTTTATTATTTTCATGAGTCCAAATAGCTGGTTTACACGATGAAATATTTGTTTGAGGTTTGTTTACTACCAGGTTAGGAATTCTATCAGCTAGTAACTGGCAACATTGCAATTCCCTAATATTTATCCTTTCAACGCGTTTTAGTGTAAATAGAAAGGTCTAGGTCTTTTCATCGTCGTTGGTAGTGCTACCTGTGAACGTCGGCCGCCAGCGGCTGTGTGCTCCGTCTCCGTGTAACGTTCAAGAACTAAATTTAATTTTGGAAAAGAGGACAGTTCGAGTCGATACAAATCGTCTGAATATGAAATAGCTCTAAAAAATTTAAAAATACGAAATAATCGTGATATATATGAGTCGCTAATGCAGTTAACCTAATTAAAAGTATTTAGTTTACGTTTTTTGGTGTCAGCACACCGTGTTCCAACAGGCCCAGCTTGGAAATGTGGAGTTACCTGTTTGTTTTTAATACAACTCAAATATCTTTCTTCAACGAAAACGTTTTTAAAAAGATTTATTTTTGAGAAAGACCAAATACAATGATGTTAATTGAATGAGTTCTGAATCGAGACTAACTGCAAAGTTCATTATACAAACCAAAGTAAAGAACAAATGAAATACAATACTGTAACTGATAAGAAAGGAACGTGGAGGCAAAAGTCCTTGTTCAGCATATTCTTCTCTGTAGACTGGTACATAACTTACATTTACTTTCAGTTTTACTGTTATTTTTCAATTTTACATAATCATTCAAAATTATGTTTGAAAAAACAGACAAAAGCTTAGATAAAATATCTGCATAATTGCGGCCACAGATGCAAGTTAAAGAAAATTCACTGTATATAATGTCAGACTGAATGCTGAGCAAGGTTAACTGACACAAAATAAATTTTTGATTATTGCTTTTCAAGAAGAAAATTTCCAATCTATCTACATTAATAATAGATTCAAAAATGGCATACATATGGTAGAATATGATTGGTACATAACTGGTTGGAATTGACAGTCCTCCTCTTTGCAAATGATCAAAATAAACATTAGTTGTTAATGAACCTTTTTCTTTAACTATTAGCGATTTGCATATCTCGCAGTTTAGGTTTTTAGAGATAGCGTGTGAAGCATATCCAGATATATAAGTCTTAGTACTATCCTCTATGTCACAATTGGCTAAGAAATTTGTCTCAAATACTTCATTGAATATATCCAAAACTTCAGGATTTTGTTTGGTATCCAAGAAATCAAAATCAAAATTTTCTTGAGTTTCTAAGCAGCTTTGGAACCTTGTTTTAATTTCTGCTAAAGAAAATGACGATTTCTTTTCATTGAAAATATGCTTCAGCCATATTTTCTTTTCAGCATTTAAAATTTCATCATATGACACATTGTAATTGCAGCCACATAAAAGTCTATAATTGCCAAATCTTTTTCTAAATTATCAGTGGTGAATTTTCCAGGCAATACATACTCAATGTCAAATTGATTAAATGAATATTCAATTATATTAAGTAGAGTCAGCGTGCTTTGATATAGAGCTGTACACGTTACTGGTGTCAGGTGTCCATTATTATTCTCTAGATATGCCATTTTTCTAACCATATCAGGATTTTTTTTTGAAAATTGTACTCTATAATCATATTTATTGGTAATAGGCTTACAAAATTCGTTTCGCTTCAATTCTCCTTTTATTACACTTGTATTACTGACAATATCCCACCAATTCCTGATTATTTCCAAAAAGTGTGCAGCATCATTAAACTTTAATTCTTTCATAGCAGCTATTGTTGAGTGATGGAATAAATTATCTACAAAATTTACATTTTGCCTTTCAAATGAATTTGGATGCAATGTTTTATAATTTAATTTATATGCTTTCTTAACTACAGCTTCTTTTTCCAATTAATATACAGCACGAATGTTTTCAAATTTAGCATACTGAATAATATCATCATTGTCAAAATTAGGATATACAAAAGTTTTGCCTAGGTTTTTTAAATTAATCCAATTATTTATGATACTCTTGAAAATATGCACAACATCATAATTTAAATATATGTTCTTATCAGGATTATGTGGATTTGGAATAGAATAATTTTCTGATGAATCCTTTGCTAATTTCCTGAACATTGCTCTATTAATTCGGTGATTATCAGTAACAACACAAATAACTTCAAATCCACATTTTTGAACTAAATTTATCTTTGATCTTATCCATATCATCGAAATTCTGGATAGCTTTTTCATGTTTCTCAATTAATTTTTGTTTTCTTTGCATTGGGTCAGTTCTTTTGGGTGCTTCAGTTTTTGAAAGATATGATGGCAAGTTTGGGAAAATGGAGGGAACAGCATTTTCTTTCAATTTTGGATATTTCAAAGGTATATTATTTTGGACTGTTCCATCCGCCAAAACTATATTTTCTGTCCTGATGATATCCGATTCTCTAAAATCACGACTGCACACAGCTGAATATTTTGAAGGTGTCCATTTTTTTCTGGGAATTGCCATAAGCCATTTGTTTTTCAGACTTTCGGTACTTGGGAAGCGAAAAGTTGAAACATAGCTTTCTGTTTTCAAAGCAGAATTATAGTTTGCATTGCATGAAGGAACACAGCAACAACGAGGCATATTGTCTGCGGCAAATTCTTGATAAATGAAAAAAGAAAAATAGAACCTGAATTTGCACGTTTTCAATAGTTGAAATCCTTAGCGTCCTGAGGCGCGAACAGCCATAGTCACACTTCTTAGTTTATTTTTAAAGCACAGAAGCACTACAACTGGAGTCTAATTCTCATATATTATAGTCACCGATCACTTTAAACACATACACACACTTTGAAGCTTAGAAAACAAGCTTATCTCTTAATTACAGCCTCTGGGATTCAAAAATCACAAATTGAAAAGGTTATGTTTTCTCAGCGTTTTGAGCACGAGTTGCGTCGATGCAGCAAGCAGCGGCGGGAGTAACACTACCACCTACGTTGCCAGATTTCTTTGTTCACGGCTCGTAGTTGACGTCGGCTGTGATTTCGCGCTATAATGCGCCAAGTTTAAGTATGAATTTCTCTGTCAACGCGATAAGCGTGCGATATGAAAGAAACAGTGCGACGGTGGCTTCCTCGACCTCGTACTGGGGTCACTAGGCAACGTGGTTCTTCTATCTCTTTCTAACAGACGTATTACATGCTTCTGTCTCGTACACATTACGTATTTGATTTTCACTGTATATATTATAAAAGCACTATCTTTGGACTGTAGTTTATTGAAATTACTTGATTTTGAGCGGTGATATTCACGATCATTTGTCAAGAACTGCCAAACAATAAAAATCATGAAGTGCCTATTCATCAAAAGCTATTATAATAAGTTATCAAAAATGATTACTCCAAAGGCTCGAAGAGACAAGGTTGCCATGCAGACTGCTGTAATCTGAGGACATTTTTTCCATGAAAATCCTAATTAATGCATTAATTGTTCTGAACTACGACTGTTTAGTGCTACTGTGTATAGGTGAAATTACATGAAAAACTGCACTAGAAGCCGTTTTGAAGGCGGGGGTAGTAAAGAGTAAATCTTGACGCCATTTTTTTCAGGTGATCTATTTCTATAGAACCACTCACACTGACTCCAAATTGAGCAACATAGCCGAATTTGAAATGAAGGAGCGATCGTGAATAGGGAGCTTAACGCGGCAGCCTTGATGTTGAGCTGTAGCTCCGTCGTATTAGTTATCCAAATATCGTGTTCACAATAACTACATTAACAGTGCATTGTTAACGCCTCCCATTTAGCACCGATATGACGCGAAACAAAAGCGTTAAAGCGCCACGTTTTTGGTCATATAACATGTTACATACTGTTAAATCATAATTTAGTCATCGCAAATTTAAGAAAACAATTCAACACATTGTCATATTTTTTACCTGAACGCTATTTTTTTGTCTTACATCCCATAAGATGACCCTTCCATGCAACTGTGCACCAGTCATGACAGTATTGCAATAATCATAATCCAGACAATATAAGGCTGAGGCATGTGGGTCCTTATAAATATGAACACAATTTCCTGTCCTGAGATCCCATTTTCTTAGATATGTGTCATAGCCACATGACCATACACAATGTGGGCCATCCCACTTCATGTCTAGAACCCCATGGTTGTATTCACAGCATGATAACTGCAAAATGTTTGTGGCTCTAAAAATGATGATAAAATTAAAAACCACATGTCTAAAATTTCTTAATCACGCCAAACAAAGTCTTGCGACATAACCGCCGAAATTATCATCACCTTTTATTGTTATCTTTGATTCTTTAGCCTTGAGAGACTACAATAAAGCTATGTTAGCACCCACTCAAGTGG